CCATTTTAGTTCTCTGATTCTTAAAATGTGGATGTTCACTCTTGCCATCTCCTGTTTGACCACTTCCAATTTACCTTTTTTCATGGACCTAACATTCCAGGTTCCTATGCCATATTGTTCTTTCCAGCATCGGACTTTACTGTCATCATCAGACACATCCCCAACTGGGCATTGTTTCCACTTTGGCTCAGCCTCTTCTTTCCTTCCGGAACTATTTTTCTGCTCTTCTCCAGTAGCATATTGGCCACCTACCAACCTGGGGAGTTCATCTTTCAGTGTCACATCTTTTTGCCTTTTCATACTGAACATTTTAGGGATTGATTTATTATTCTTTACTCCAGATTCTAAGGGAGAATGAGCCCTCTTTCAGAAAGTATGAGCCCTGTCGTTGTTCAGTTACTCAATTGTGTCCAATTCATTGCAACCCCGTGGACTGCAGCACGCCTTCTGGTGGACTGCAGCACGCCTTCTGGTGGACTGCACCATCTCCTTCACCATCTCCCTGAGCTTGCTCAAACTCAAGTCCATTGAGTCAGTCATGCCATCCAACCCTCTTGTCCCCTGTCGTCCTCTTCTCCTCCTGCCTTCAGTCTTTCCCAGCATCAAGGTCTTTTCTAATGATTTGGCTCTTCGTATCAGGTGGTCAAAGTATTGGAGCTTCAGCATCAGTCCTTCCAGCGAATATTCAGGATTGATCTCCTTCAGGATGGACTAGTTGGATTCTCCTTGCAGTCCAAAGGACTCTCTAGAGTCTTCTCCAACACCACAGTTCAAAAGCATCAATTCTTTAGCACTCAGTCTTCAGTGTGAGGGTATGCAGGCTCTTTAAGTTACATGCTGTCGTTTACCCAGGGTCATCCCCATGAAGAACCAAATCCTTTTTGAGTCTTCCATCTCCCTCTTTGCTCTTAGAGTTCATAGTCCATGAAGCTGATGTGGGTGTGGGATGTCTGCATATCAGACATTGAGTCTGTGTGTCAGGTCCTGACTCATTCGTTCAGACTTACAGAAGGGCAGAAAGGATGTCAGCCCAGCCAGAAAAAACCTGGAGGAGGCGGAGAGACAAACCCCTGAAATAGGAAGACATGTAGTTCTCTCATAGGCCCACGTGAACCTGCAGTGTCACAGAGGTTGATTCTTAGAATATAGATGTGCAGAGGGTCACACCCAGCGACAGACATACAAGGGTGCACGCTGGGAGAACACATCATCCCTGGTTATGACGTCAGCTGAGACGATAAATATCACATAGCCTCTTGTCAGTATTCCCAATGTCTGAAGCTTTCCAGTCCTCAGAAAAGGATATTAATAGGATAGCAGGCTCACCCTTTTCATCTCAAGCAGTATGTGAAATCTAAGGTATCACCAGGGAGGAGGCTGGGCTGGTAATAACCCTGGAGAAATTGCTCCAAGAGACTGGCAGAAACCTGGATTTTGAAGCCAGTCTCCTATTTCCTGCTGTAATCCTCATTAAAGTTCAACAGTGTGAAGGGATAGGGAGGAGCCTTCTTCCCCTGAGAGGAGGGGAGCAGGCCTCCCACACCTGGGCGAGGGCAGCCGGTGGGGACTGCAGGGCCCTGGCCAGCACCACACCCTCATCCCTGGAGAGTGGGCCCAGCACGCAGGGGCCCTGCTGCCTCAGAGTGAGGCGTCCCCTGCCTCTGGGAGGAGAGAAGGGAGGAGATTTTACCAGACAGTCTGACCTGATCACACCCACATGGATCTGGGAAGCCCTAAGGGGCCTCTTTAGTCCCAGAGGAGGCTGTAGTTGAACGTCAGGCAAATTAAAATAGAGCCGGCGATGGGAAGCCTCCCCAGGCCGTGCACCCAGGCCAGGTGTGAGGTGGCGGTGTTTGCTCAGTTGTGTTTGAGGTTGGGTGGTGAGCAGAGGCCCCAGGGCAGGTCCCCACAGGAAGGGTGCTGTAGAGAGACCACCCTCCATGGAGGCGGAGAGCCCAGCCTTGGAGGACCACGTGTGCGGCGGCATCCAACAGCAAAATTTATGTAGAGAGGCTCTCTCTGGATCCGGGGCCCAGGAGCCTCTGACCGGGAGGAGGCCCTGGACGGACACCGTGGTCCTTTGAGCTCTTGAGGCTTTAGAAAGCGTGTTGCCTGGGTGCTGACCCAGTGTCCCCACACCTCCGACCTGGCTTCTCAGCCTCTCATAAGATCCTCAGGCACTTCATCAGTGTAGAAAGTCAGTATTTGGGGAGCACGGATGGGAGACAGACTATCCTGGTTTAGGACTGAGTCTCAGCAAATGGACCTGTGTGACTCTTGTCTCCCGCCCGTTCCTCAGTGGGGAGGGGGTGACAAGCCATTTTTGCTTCAACTACTGGAGAAGGGAAGGCTACCCACTCCAGTATTCTGGCCTAGAGAATTCCATCGACTGTATAGTCCATTGGTTTGCAAAGAGTCAGACACTACTGAGCACCTTTCACTACTACTTTCACTACATATTTAAGCAGTGCTAAAATTGCACAGCCCTGTGAACTCATCCCTGAAAACAGTGGCGCTCTTCTCCATCACATGCTGCTGCAGGGGAGGCTGCTCAGAGGAAATGCTGTGTAATGCCCCCCACACTTGACCATCCTTCCAGCCCGCACATCGCCTTTGGGGGTGCAGTGGACAGCCCCCAAGTCAGGGCAGGTCTCGGAAGACAGGCAGCAGGCTGGAGAGGCCTGACTGACCTCTCTCTGCTCCTCGCTCCTGGTTTGTGGGATGTTTCACTCTTGCCGTGACTTTGGTCATGACCCCGGACTCAGTTTCATTTATATTAAGGAGGATACGGTGTTTGAAGGCATGTGAGAGTGCGTTTGGGATCAGTGAAGGGTAAAGGATTCTGTCCACAAGGGAGGCGTGTAGGAGCCAGGGGTCAGGCAGCTCCTAGTTCTTCTGAACCCTGCCTTGAGCAGAGTGGGTGGACCAGCTCCCTGGCCCCATGACGGCGGTGGCCACCTCCTCGCACTGCTCTCAGACCTGGCGGAAGGAAGGGACACCTGGGGAAGGGAGGAGGGGCCGGTGAGTCCTGACCTCCGCTTTGCTCTTCGGGCCCCATCAGCTACAGCCCTACTCCACTCACACCTGCCTTTGCGCCATCATCTGCCGCGGGCCCCACCCTGGTCTGTGCTGTGGCCCCATGTCCTTCGCTCACCTGACCTTGTTGTCCTCGGCTCCCCTGAAGCTTCAGTGATGTTGCTGATAGTGGTTTTTCCCATCTCCTCCTCTGCTGTCTGTGGTGACAAGGAGGCAGGATGGACAAGCACGTGATCTGAATAGGGGTCTGCAGGGGAGGCTCAGAGGGGACGTCCCACCTGTCTTGCAGGAGTGATCATCAAGAGGAGGAGTGGGGAGATCCCCTGCCCCCTGGCCGTGGAGGCCTTCGCGGCCCACCTCAGCTACATCTGCAAGTATGACGACAAGTACAGCAAGTAAGTGAGCCGGCGCCGAGAGCAGGGGGCTGCCGGGCGGTCCACTGCCCTTCTCAGAGTTGGCAGGTGAAGACCCTGAGAGAGAAGATCCTGAGCCCGCAGCCTGGCGTCCCCGGGACCCAGCCACGCGGCCACCCCCGCCTCCCACCACCTGGCCTCCCGCACTGCAGTCCTGTCTGTTCCCCTTCTTCCGCGTCCGCCCTCGGGCCCGACCCCGCCCGCTGTTGTCCCTGAGGCCCTGCCTGGCGTCCCCTCCGCAGACCACGGGGCGTCCCCTCCGCAGACCACGGGGCGTCCCCTCCACAGACCACGGGGCGCGGGCCTTCATGTCACTGGGCGGAGCCGAGGTTACACAGCCGTTTTATGTGTGAGTGTGGGCTCAGGCACGGTGTCATCATGAGTGCACACATGGTGTGGACCACACGCATGTGCGTGTACGTGTACACGCCCCAGTGCTGTCTCCAGGCAGCTCCCGTGCCCACGTCAGGAGCTGGTGAACCTTGGCCTGTTAACTACTGGGCCTGAACCTCACAATCTAAAACAGGGTGAGACTGACCCAGAGGGCGGTGAGCATCTTCTCAGCCCTCCTTGAGGGTCACTGACGTCTCCCCAGGCTGCTTGGTGGGGGGGCAGTGCAGGACCTGAGCCTTCTGGAAAAGCCTGGCTGTAGAGGGCGCCCCAGTCCCTTAGAGTGGCTGCACTGTCTTCCTGGAGCCCTGGCCTGCCTGGCGGCTCACTGGCCTGGGCAGTGCTCACAGGGCAAGCTGTGTGATGGAGCAGACATCGCGCTTCAGTGGTGCTGAGGTTGCCGACCCTCCAGCACCCGGCATTTGGGGTGCAGAGACACACACACATGCAGAGGACAACGGCACAGGGGTGGGTCCTGAGGCGGGGCTCCCCAGGGCTCACAGCTGTCCTCCGTCTGGGGGAGGTGGGGTGGTGAAGAGAAGAGCGAGGAGCTGCGGGTGGTCGTGGCAGGAGGGGCTCGGGACACGCTGTGCTCGTGCAGGGAGGCCCGCAGCCCTGCGTCCTCCCAGCTCCAGCCGCACCACACAAGCCTGGCTCCTGGTTTCAGTGGCCCCCACGGTGACCCGCCTCCTCCCACCTGATCCTTTCCTAAGGACTGTTTTCATCTTGAGTAAAGTTCACGTGCCTGAGCCTCAGTGAGAGCTGCCTCCCTGTCCCCAGGCTGATTCCCACCCCCACACTCCCAACAGCACCTGCCGAGCCCGATGAGGCCTTTGGGAATCTCTCTTGCTCTGGGCACCTCGGCACCATCTGAGTCAGCCCTTCTTACCCTTCTGTCCTCTTAGGTATTTCATTTCTCATAAACCGAACAAGACCTGGCAACAGGTATTCTGGTTTGCTGTCAGCATCGCGGTCAATAATGCCTACATTCTGTACAAGATGTCGGATGCCTATCACGTGAAGAGGTACAGCCGGGCCCAGTTCGGTGAGAGACTCGTGCAAGAGCTGCTGGGCCTGGAGGATACCTCCCCAGGCCTCTGATGTCCTGGGCGTGGCCCGGGCTAGGTAAGGACCAGGTCCAGGGAGGGACGGGGGAGCCTGATGTCTGACCTGCCGGCCAGAGACCCGGAGACGCCCTGTGTGTGGCCGTGGTCCAGGGAGGGTGCTCAGGGCCTCTGCAGGGGCCAGGACGGACCTGGTCAGAGGGTGGTGCATCCGGTTTCCACACAGCGAAGAGCACGGCTTCCCTCCGGAGAGTGGCCATCACCTTGGAGTGAGCACCTTGCAGGTGTGGCCCTGAGCCAGACCTTCTGTGCCACCAGCGCAGGGCAGGGCACCCTCACAATCCCCCTGGAGGCCATGGGGAGCCTGTTCAGCACAGGGGACCTGGGAGGGCTGCTTCCATCATGGGCGCCAGGGATGGAATGAGCTGGTGAAGACAAAAGACGTCCACGACGTGGTTCAGGTCATGCAGTGTCTGAAGGCGATGGGAAGGGAGTATGTAGGAGTATGTAGTAGCCCAGAGTGTTTTCCAGTGTCTGCCTCAAGTGGGCAGCTCAGAACGGGGCTCATAGCAGAAGAAACACTAGCCTGCCATCGCTTCAAGGCAGTGTTGGCTTGGGGAGTGGGGCCACTCTGATGTGTGCACGAGGTGCTCCTGCCTGTCCCAGAGGGGCTGGTATGTGGGGAGAAAGATGGGACAAAATGGCAGTGAAGTGTGACGCTGTTTTTTATTTTTAGATATATCTTCAGGTTATTTTCTTACTGTTGCTCAAGATCTTCTGTAAAAGGAAATGTCCCTCTTCTGTCCTCACCCTCTCACCCCACCCTGCCGTGGCTCCTTGCATGATCACGGGCCTGGGCCTGAACCTGGGCCAGAAAGGGTACTTTGCGTCCATCAGACCGTGGGGGCCTGTGGGCCTTGAGCTTTGCACAGATGCCGTCACTGGCAGAATTACTTGTTTTGGAAAATACGCAGCACAGCTGAGACCAGATTGTCTCTGGGTGACCACCCGCTCTCTCCCTCGTGTGATCACTGGGCAGTGCTGGCCGGCCTCACTGCACGCCTCGTGATGGTGTGGCGGGCATTGGCAGACCCACCTGTACAGCGTGGCTGGGTGTGACTCCCAGGGCCTGGGGTCTGCTCACCACCAGCCTGAAAGGCCCACATGATGAGCAGCTGGCAGTGCTCTACAGAACACCTGGGCCTTCTCTGAACCAAGGTTCACGCGTCTCCCTGGGAGACTGCCGCTAGGGTGGTCGGCTGGTCTGGCTGTCCCCACAGATAAGAAACAAGTAATTTCTGAAGTTACGTGATCTCCCTTCAACCCAATTTATGTCGCCCCCTTATTTTTACAAATGCAAACCTACTCTACTCAGGCTTCGGGATGTTCTTCCTTGTCACGCAGTTCATTGCGAGTGTTGCTGGCAGCATGCTCCAGATCGCATCGTATCTGTACCCAGTTCACGGCGGTCACCTCGCCCTGTGGTTTTAATTCCATGCCACGGATTGTAGGCCAAATTTTAAATTGTGTTTCCAAACACCTTTGCCATGTCCTTTAATTGGATTGAAAGCACTTTTACCACATGGAGAAATCTATTTTTAATTTGTGATGCTTTTCTACAAGGTCCACTATTTCTGAGTTTAATGCGTTTCCAACACTTAGGGAGACTCTAATGGAAGCTGATGAATTTTCTTTTCTGTCCAAGTAAGTAAAAGAAAAAATAAAAGTCTATTTAGATGTTGACTCTTTGTTCATATGTGAGTTTGTTTAAAAGGTCCAGGACAAAACTCCAGGCCACTCCTGTGAGTCTTGATTCCTTGTATAATCCAGTATGTATGATCCCGCCACTCGAGTATCATGAACCAACGAGCAGCTTAGAAGAAAACTCCAGTTGCCCATTGATGGGTAGAAATGCACATGATGCCCTGTCCTGTGACTGCTCAGTTGTATTGAGAGGTGCCTCTGCCATTAGACACATCGTGCCTGCCTCCACCGCTCTCTGTCCTCTGCTAGGCCATGTGTCATTCTGATTCAACACCAGAGGTGCTGCCGTGACCAATAGTGGGTGACTTCACATCACCAAGAAATTATAGAGTAATCACTCCATATTAGTGCTCTGGTTTTAAGATGGTGGCCACCTGGCTTCTGATAAGTGATGGAGAGACCAGCAGTTTAGCTGGGTCTCTGGTGGAGCCTGTGGCGATAGCACCAGCTCACAGGTTCAGAGGGATTTCTCTTCTCTTTCTAGGAGGACAAAAGGCCAGGCAGCACTGACTGGGAAAGCCTGCAGGGACCTGGACTGCACCCATGATGGGGTGTGGGGTGACTGGTCAAAAGTCACCAGACTCCATACCTCCCTGGGTCTGAAGGCTGGCAGGCCCACACTGGACATGCTCACTGGGAAGCTGGCCATTGTTCTTGACCAGGAAGGGGCCCAGCTAGAGGTTCTCAGGGCAGAGGCTGCCAGCAGGGCCCTGGCAGAGGCTGGGAGGTAGGTGGCCCCCTGCATTCTGTGGCAGACCAGTCCTGTGGGAGGTCTTTGCTGCAGGGTCTAGAAAGGAAGGGCGGACAGTGAGCTCCCAACCCTGTTGGAAACAAAGCACGAGCAGGACTTCTAAGCTTCTCCAAAGAACATCTCACCGCTGAATGCAAGGTAACCTGTTGGGCTCCATACATGGTCTCTGGTGTGTCACATGACCTCAGCTGTCTTTGGAAGTCGGTAAGGTAATTCTTGGGCTTCCCTGGTGGCTCAGAGGTAAAAAATCCGCTTGCAGTGCAGGAGACTCGGGTTCAATCCCTGAATCGGGAGGATCCCCTGGAGGAGGCAATGGCATCCCACTCCAGTACTCTTGCCTGTAGAATCCCATGGACAGAGGAGCCTGACAGGCTATAGTCCATGGGGTCACAAGAGTCGGACACTACCAAGCAACTGAACCACCAACACCACCAGGCTCATTCTTAGGAGAATCTAATTAGGATGATTTTCTGTTTGGATTTGGTACCTTCTTTAGCAGGGTCTGTATTTGTGTTTTCTCCCCACATTCTGTGTCCCCCCCCCCCCAAAGCCTCAATTTTGAACAGTATTTTACTTTGGTCATTGGGACATTCCATGAGTATTTCAAAACTCAGGTGAGTGACATAGAAACTTGGCATCTGGACCATTCTGGGCAAAGATATCCAGTTTATTGACTGCATTAGACAAGACCTGGCCACCAAAAACAGATTCACTCTGCAGCTGTGGCCGAGAAAAGATTGCAGATGGACGGGGAGGACCTGGGTGCGTGGCTGGCACCGCCGTCACCCTGAGGAACCCTCCCTCAGCATCGGCATTGAGAGGGCCCCTGATGAGGGGGTGAGGCAGGCTCGCCACCACCAGGCAGAGACGCCCCTCTAGCTGTGGTGAAGGGAAAAGGCACCCCCCACAGCAGGCCCTGAGGTGGAGGAGAACAGCTCAGTGACAGGCTGAGGGGAGGGGGTAGGAAGGGTTCACCGACCTGTGCCCCAGTTCTTCACCCAGGCGCCCCACGGGGTGGGCCTGGACACCTGCGTCCCCAGCTTGCAGGTAGGCGTTGGCAAGGGGGACATTTTACTGCTTGCCCAGGTGAGCGGGTGGACCTGATGCTGAGACCGTGGTCTAAACCGCTGCACAGACTGCTCCCCGGGTTCACCAGCAGGGCTGGTGGCTTTAGCCCCAGTTTATGTAATGCCTTTATAGGGCATTTTCTCCTGTCTGAGGCTTTATAGACAGGTGAGAGCAAACGTCTCTTCTGATCTGAAATATTGCAGATGCTCAAGGTGCACACCCTCCCTACATCATTCTCTCAGGTGCGTTCCTTTTTTGCCCTGGATCCAGGCAGGAGTTTTTGGTTGAAGGCCTGATGCAGCCCAGGTTGACCTGGTGGTGAGCTGAGGTCTGGGCAGTGGTCGGCCGGAAAAGGGCCCTTGGCTGCAGCCAGTCCTGTGCTGAGCCAGCTGCCCTCTAACCAGGTGGCACAAGGGGAGGTGAAGGGGAGGGGGTGACCCTGGAGCCTCTGCCCAGGTGCCTGCCAGCTGTCCTGTGGGCCAGGGGCTGGGGTGGAGGGCAGGTCTGCAGAGCGTCATGATCCCTCTCCCCAGGTGCCTGCCAGCCGTCCTGTGGGCCAGGGGCTGGGGTGGAGGGCAGGTCTGCAGAGCTTCATGATCCCTCTCCCCAGGTGCCTGCCAGCCGTCCTGTGGGCCAGGGGCTGGGGTGGAGGGCAGGTCTGCAGAGCGTCATGATCCCTCTGCCCAGGTGCCTGCCAGCCGTCCTGTGGGCCAGGGGCTGGGGTGGAGGGCAGGTCTGCAGAGCGTCATGATCCCTCTCCCCAGGTGCCTGCCAGCCGTCCTGTGGGCCAGGGGCTGGGGTGGAGGGCAGGTCTGCAGAGCGTCATGATCCCTCTCCCCAGGTGCCTGCCAGCCATCCTGTGGGCCAGGGGCTGGGGTGGAGGGCAGGTCTGCAGAGCGTCATGATCCCTCTCCCCAGGTGCCTGCCAGCCATCCTGTGGGCCAGGGGCTGGGGTGGAGGGCAGGTCTGCAGAGCGTCATGATCCCTCTCCCCAGGTGCCTGCCAGCTGTCCTGTGGGCCAGGGGCTGGGGTGGAGGGCAGGTCTGCAGAGCGTCATGATCCCTCTCCCCAGGTGCTGGCTGCCCACTCGCCTGCTTGTGTCTGTGTCTCGTCCTGTCCCCACGATGGGCAAAGGCTCATCAGCAGTCTTGGGTGTAGAAAGCCAAGGGCTCCAAAGGGAAAGGGAACACAGGAAAGGAAACAGAGTTCCCAGAAGTGCCTCAGCCCTGCCCAAGGGGCTCCCCAGCCCACTCTGGAAGAGAGCTGTGCGAAATGGGTTCTGTACCCTTGACTGTCGCCCTAGACACCTGTCTTTATTAGGAAGAGAGCTGAGACTCCATTACCTAAGCCTTTATTCCATGTGGCGTCTCTGTGTGGCTCATTTTTTAAAGGATTGTTAAAGCTCCTTTCTGAGTCTGTCGTTCTCTCCCATTAAGAAGTACAGGAGGGTATCAGTAGCAGGGGGCACTTGGAGCGTTGCTCGAGGATGTGAGCAGGAAGTGAAGATGGGTCCCATGTGCTGGCCCTGGATCTTTCCCCCTGCCCAGAGCACACCCCTTTTCTCCACTGTCCTGGCCCTCCCGGCTGTGGCCACTGCTGGAGACGCTGCCGGTGGGAGTGAAGAGCATTCCTGCACCTGCGCACAGCCATGATGGGTCTCCTGAAAGGAGAGGAGACGCTTGGCTGTGTCTCTTCTGCTTCATCAGCTACTGTGCTGCAGATGTAGGACTTTTTCCTACCTTACTTGGAAGCTTGCCCTTTATTGTCCATATTTGGAGATGAAGGCTGAGGTGGAGGAGAGGCCCCTGAACTCGGGACTGTGAGGGGAAGGAGGAGATGGGGTGGGCGCTGGGCTCATGTGCAGGTGTGAGGGCTTGGGTGTCGTCAGGTGGAGCGTGCCGCGGCAGAGGGTGAAGGGTGACTGGAGCACACCTGAGACACCGCGTCTCCAGCTGGAGGACAAGGTGGAGAACCTCCCCGCTCGCGCTCTCTCTTTAATCTGTTGTTCATGAGACACTGCATCTCCAGCTGGAGGACCGCAAGGTGGAGCACCTCCCCACTCGAGCTCTCTCTTTAATCTGCTGTTCATTCTTTTACACACTCCTCGGACACAGCTATATCAGAGCCAAACTGTGACCCACAGTAATGAGTACTACAGCCAGGCCTGGCTCTCGGCTCTGCCAGTGCCTCCATGTACTCCTCAGGACTGCCTGTGAGCCGGGACCATCACTGCCCCTTCTCCTTGAGTGGGGACTCCAGGGGGTGGACCTCAGTCGCTCCCACCACCGCCCCCACTGTGGGCGGCTCACTCTTCCAGCAGGGATGGTGCCAAGAGCCATGCACCCAGCTAGCAAACCGCGTGATCTGGGTGTACACGTGTGGGCTCCACCCAAAGGGGGTCTCCATGAGGGGCAAGCCCCAAGTGGTGGGGGTGCTGTCGGCACTGCTGCTGGGGCACAGTCCACCCCCTCCAAATCGTGCGGCACTTCGCCTGCCTGCACATCCCCAGAGAGATGGGATCTGAGCCTCAGGGGGCTGGGACGGGACTGCCTCTGACCAGGACCAGCTGGTTTCCATGTAGCTGTCTTTGGAGACCATGGCAGCACGTAGAGCAACAGAGCAGGAAGTGGTCTCAGCTACTCGAGAGGCGCAGGGGAAGTTTCCCGTCTCACCCATACTCATATTCCGTTGTGACACCTCCTTTCACTCCCCCGGAAGCTTGTAGCTGGTTCTGTTTTCCCCCTGGGAAGTGTGCCCACCTCTTTCCCCACCTCCCTCCACTAAGAAACGGCTGCAGCTCAGGCAACAGTGAGTGGTGGAAAAAATAATTAATTGGACAGATGATACTTTAGTGTTTTAATTAGCTCTTCCCCTAGACTTAGCTGTTAAAAAAAAAATACATCTAGCTTCACAGTTGGGAACTTCCTGTACGTAGTACCCAGAAGGAGCGGATGAGGCTTCTGTGATTTTAGTAGGTTTAAAAAGATGGACTCGAAGCAGTTGTATACATTTTTAGGTGTAAATTTTAGAACTGGAGTTGTGGGATTTTTGATTGAGGTATCTTGGGGTAATTTTCATCCATTTCAGTGTAATGGCCCAGTATGATGTGATCCTTATTGATACTTATCGCTGCTTATCCATAGAAGTACAGTGTCCAAAGGGGACGGATGCTCTGCCAGCTCCAGTACCACGGAAGCCACTTGTCCAGTCCTGGCCCCTCCCTACAGCAGGAGGCATCAACCAGTCAGGGGCCTAGGAGGCAAGGACGGTGGGTCCACATGGAAAGCGGATGACAGAAGGGGCAGCTGGGGAGACGGGGTAGTGAGTGTGGCCCCGTGCTGGCCGGAGGCAGGGGCGGGGCAGGGGTCTCTGGTCCTCCTCCCCCTGCTGGGCACGGTGCACATCACCTGCAGGCGCCTTGCCTCAGGGGAGGGGGTGTCCAGCCCCAGAGAGAGCTGCCCAGAGTGGACACAGGACACCTTCATACGCAGGGGGCACTGCCTACTGCTAACCATCTTGGTGGGCAGGGGGCAGCATTGGGCAGGACACTCTTGTTGCAGCTCTGATCTTGACTAAAGAAGAGCAGAAAATGGCTGGGGATCAAGGCCCCGGCCCCAGGGCCTGGCCCCTAGCAGGTGCTGTAACCAGAACGAAGACGCTGGGTCCAGAGGAGGGCTTGCCCTCCCCCCAGCCCCTTGCTCTTCCTTGTGACGGTGCCCACTTCCACGAGTTTGTGACAGGGACATCTGTGTCAAAGAATCTGGAAAGATTGCTGTTTGACATTTTGTTGTTGTTGTTGCCACCATTAACATTATATTGTGTTTTTTCAGTTAAGAATCTTTAGGAGAAAGTTTTTAATCTTCCTGGAAACTGCAGGCATAGCCCTTGGTTGACATCACACAACTTCTCCATCCCTTCTGTAACAGTAAAGCAGACTCTTTTGATTATTTTAAACATCAAGATTTTGATTTTACACAAAGCACACTTGCAGCACCTTTTTTACAAATGAAATGAGCTAATTCTGATTTCTAAAATATTAGGTATGACCCCCCCAAATTATTATTTAATTCAGATATCTAATCATGTGTTTTTTATTTCTTCAACAAAGTGATTACACTCAGCAGCTTTGAAATATAATAAGATACATTGCATTTGCTTCTCTCTGGTGCTTTCTTTTCGGGGGAGGGCTGCTGCAGGAGGGAGCGGATGGTAGAACAAAGGAAATCAGGGACTGCATGTGGGATCTGTTGCCAGAAGTAAATAATAGCAGAGGTTAGGCAGAGCCTGGGGAACCACCCCAGGGATTCTCCTGAAGGTGAAGAGGGATGGCAGGTAAGGGGACCCGGGGGGCCCCAAGCACATTCTACCACCTGAGCCTTCTCAACCGCTGCTGTTCCTGGGTGAGTCAGAGACTCCTGGGGTCCTCCTTTCTCTCTCCTCCCATCTTTTGCCTGTGGGGGGGCACCGGAGCCTCCACTATCAGAGGTTGAACTCTGCAGCCTGCAGGGTCTACTGCTGCCATCAGCACTGCCCTGTCCTCCCCTTCCTCAGAAGGTTCTGGAATCAGGCATACAACTGGGATGAGCATTTACTGCCAGAAGGCAGGTCCCTGGGAGCAAAGTGAGAGATGGGTTAGAAAGTGCCCACAAGTGGAGCAGGCACGTGTGGGGCATCAGCAGAGCAAACTTTGGCTTGGGTGGTAATCTAGGACGCCAAGGAGTGGGATTGTTTTCATTAACATAGAAAATCTTTATATTATGAGGTGTTGGATGCCACTTTCCAGGGTTCTTTTTATACTTCATTAGAGGAGGATAAAAGATTTTGAGGAGCATGTGTTTAACCTCAATAACCTAAAATAAGAATTAAAACTTTTTACAGCACTTTGTGGCAATATTTTAAGTTCTTTCATAAGCCAAAGCTAACTTTTAAACACAATTTTAAAGTTTCCATGATATCTTTGCTTTCCACATCTTTTGTTAAGTGTTGGACTTACCTTTGCTAAATTGTTTTGTTGACCTCTCATGATCATTTTTTATTATCAGTGACTTACCTCCCCCATCAACTTTATATCTTCGTTCCAATTTTCCTTTCTACATCACTGCCTCTGTATGCATCTCCTCTCCTTTTTCTTCCCCTCATTTTATCTCTCTACCTCCCTCTCCACATTCTTTTGGTGAGCCCTGGAATCGCTCCCTGCCTGTCCTCTCCAGATTCAGAGGGGCCGGTCTTGTCTCCCCCTCTATCACCACACCGTAGGAATCATTGCGATTCAATAGTAGAAGGGGTGGGAGATGTGAACATTTGTATTGAAGACCTTGTGAGGGTAGAGACACCCCAGAAAGAGGTTTGGCTTCAACACAGAGGAAACAACCCTTTATAGTTGAGAATGGATATCAGGATTTAATTGACTAATCCTAGGGGCCCCGCCTTCCATGCCATATTTCCTGAACTTTCATCATGTCCCCTGGTGGCATGGCTCTCTTTGAGGTTCAGAGTAATACTTGGAAAGTCAAACAGCCACTGTCTGATTTGAGAGATAGGACAGCAGAGGGAAAGTGAGCTAAAAGTCATTCATTAAATAAACTTTTATTGAGCTCTTCTGAACCATTAGACACTGGGGATGTGAGCAAGGACAGCCTTTCCCATCAGGGACTGTCAAGCTATGGGAGAGACACACAGATCTCCTGTGACCAGAGTAATATAGTATGTTAAAAAAAACGAAGAAGAAACAATGACCATATTTTCTCACTCACAAATAGGGCAGAATGTTTTTGAAGGAATGTTAATGGGGGATCACAGAGAGGTCAGGTGTGGATACTACTTCAAAAAATGAACCGGCTTGCTGCTTGAAACAAACCTGTGTCACATGGGCCCATCTTGGGCCAAAGGCTCTGGGATTTGCCACTGGGAGAGTCTTGGGGTCCACAGGTAAAAGCCCAACAGTTCTGCCTCTGTTTAACCACCCTGACACTGCGGGGCAGGTAGAATGCATCCATGTTCAAGTTTATGCTCCAAGGAGAGACAGTGCATCTGGAGGACGTAGCTGCTCCCGAGAAAGCCAGGCAGCTTGACACCGGGTCTCCTCTGGACAGATCCTGTCTGGGGGCAGCAGCTGGCCCACCAACACGGGCCCCCTCCCTCCCCATCCCAGGAACTGGAAAAATGTTGGGTGATATCTTCCCTCCATCAAGCCAGATGGTAGCAGTGGCTTTCTATCCAGTCACCGTCCACCAAGTCAGAGTGTCTACAGACCAAAAGTAAACAACCCCACAAATGGAAACTCACTGCCAGCCAGATAAGTGTATTCATGAGGATAACAGAAGGAAATATTTAAAAACCCAGAAAGACTGTCGTCCTGCTGCAGACTGTATAAGCGCTGGGAAGGGTAGGCGGCTTTGTCTGTTTTCAAGAGTGTTAGAATGAAAAAGAACGACGCGGCCCTCCCACAGTCTGCCCACCTCTCTTGAGCCTCTCCATGTCCGACCAGCAGAGGGCAGCAGAGGACGCCGCGTGCGCTTCCGCCGCCTCGGCGCACTGGCTCCCCCGAGGTGCGGGCCCAGTGGATGCCGCAGCAAGAGACACACGAGGTCTCTGCTGATCCAGCGCTAGGAGAGAGAGCAATAAGCAAGTCACACCCACAGATGACTTCCTGGGGGCAGGGATGGGAAAGGAACTCGAGACAGAATTCCACACTTATTCCCCCTGCAAACGTGTGCCAGGTGCTTACCAGGCCCAGGCCCTTGTGGAGGCAGGTGAGAAGATAAACACTCCTGCCGTCCTGAAGTGGGGGAGAGGGCTGGACCCAGTAAACCACAAAGTGCTTGTACAGCGTTTGTACAGATGCTTAGTTCTACAGACAACAGGGCAGTTCGGGTTTGATGGGCGCTGAGGCCAGGCTGTCTGTTTGGAGCAGATCCCAGGGGAAGGTGGGCGCAGCAGCTCCAGGGGCCCCGCCAGCCCACCCTCTGCCAGACTGTGCTGAGGTCACGGGGGCGGCTGCGCCCGGGCCCTTCGTGAAGAGCAGGGGCCTTGGGGGGAACAGGCTGTGGCGGAGGGGACGGGGCCCAGAGAGGAGGCCATCCCAGCAGGACAGGGAAGGTGCCCTCTGGGGAAGATGAGGGCGTTGGAGCAGAACCAGCAGAGCGGTTGGCGGAGGGCTACCAGGCCTCGGAGGGCAGACGGCGAGTGGTTCCTGGCTGTGGGGAAAGAGGGCGGCGCTGAGACGGAAGGTGGGGGCGGGAGACAGAAGCCGCGCCGTGGGGCCCTCGCAGACAAGCTGCCGTGGTCCGGCAGGTGGTCTCAGCCTCCAAGAACCCTCCCCGCCTCCGGGATCCCCCCAGGGACCAAGGCAAGGCTTGACTTCTGACTGCGACTTCTGAGGATGTGAAAATGAGACTCCTGCGTTCATCTTGGCCACAGCCCCAAGCGGCCAAGGACAGTGAAGCATCCTGCCCCCGCAGAGCTGTTGGGCTCCGCAGGGGACCCCAGCACCCTTTGGAAGTTTCCAGAGGGCTGCCCAGAGTTCATTGTGTGTCCCCTGTGTGTCCCTGCAGCCTCGGCGGGGCAGCCTGCAGCATCTCAGGAAGCCTCTCCCCGCCGCAGTGGCCATGGTGGAGCAGAATCAGAAGACAGGATGCTGCGGGGCCTGGCTGTCCGGGCCAGAGAGACCTGACCACAGCGTGGCTCTGGGGAAGTGAGAAGGAAGGCGTTTCCTGTGAACCCTGGATCCTGCGGAGGGGCCCTGGGGGTCGTGTGCAGGGTGCTCCATGGCGGCGGCCTCTGAGGCTGCGGGGCTGCGGCCTCTGAGGCTGCGGGGCTGCAGGCTGGGCACAGGCTCCGCCCTGAGTGTGCCCAGTGCCTCTGTGGGCCTCGGTCTCTGGGAATAAAGGACCTGCCTGACTTCTTTACGGAGACCACCATGATGACATCAGGGTGTGACACATGGGCACCTCTGGCCCTGTTAATGACCTTGGGCTCGGTCGGTGGAGGAACGATTGCAGTAACAGTGGAGGTCAGCCCTGTCCCAGGCCTCCTGCTCACAGGCCTGAGGCCTGGAATGCACCAGCCTCCCTGGAAGCAGAAGGCCAGGTAAACGATGGAACAGTAGGGCGTGTTCCAGGAAGAGGTCCATCTTTCTAGTGTGAAAAGTGAGACCCCCTAAAAGATGAGATCCCAGCCATGCGGGATTCCATGTTCCCTCTTTTTCCAAGTCATGCACCCCACCTCCAAGCAGCAGCAGAACCCAGTGGAGACAGACAGTCCAGCTCCAAGTGGGGTGAAGGGAACCAAAGGATTACAGGTCCAAGGGATGTGGGGAGGGGGATGACATCCAGGGGCAGAGCCCCTGTACCAGGGGATCCCTGTCTTAGGAGCAGAACAGGTTTGGGAACCCAGTCCGGAGTGCCCCACCCCCAGCTCTACAGGGGTTCCTTTCTTCTAAATCTCTATGTTTCACCAGACAGCCCTACTTGTGGAGTACCCCCTTCCTTTTAGGAACAAGGAACACTTGCTACTAAAAGATTCACTTGTGTGCACATCTCAGGGCACAAGAGAAGGTGCTCAAAACATGGAGATGGATAGAGGATGCCCAGGCGGCCCAAAGCCGACTGTGGATGTGCAGGTGCTTTCAGAAGAGGGACTGCCTCCAAAAGGCTTTCACTCGGTGTTAGGACTGAGTTCTCCCCAGCTACCCCCAGAGTGCACAGTAGAAAACAGGAGGCTCCACCATTGTGCATCTCACAGATGCCCAAGGGCTCCAGTTTCTCCACATCTTTGACAACACTTGCTGTCTTTGTCTTTTTCATAGTAATGATTCTAACAGGTATGAGGTCTCATTGTGGTTTTAATTTTCATTTTGCTGATGATTGCAATGTTAGCTTCCTCCCCTTACACTTCCCCCCATGAATGAATGAAGGAAAGATGCTCAGTCAGTCTGACACTTTGCAACCCCATGGCCTGTCCATGGACTTCTCCAGGCAAGAATACTGGGGTGGGTTGCTATTCCCTTCTCCAGGTGATCTTCCTGACCCAGGGATCAAACCCGGGTATACTGCATTGCAAGCAGATTCTTTACCATCTGAGCTACAGTCACCCCGTACCTGTTGGCTATTTGTATGTCTTCTTTGGAGAAATTAAAAATAGAACTACCACATGATCCAGCAATTTTACTTCTGGGTATTTATCCAAACGAACTGAAATGAAGATCTTGAAATGACATTAACACTCCCATGATGATTGTAGCACTGTTCACAACAGCCAAGATGTGGAAACAGCCTAATGTCCCCTGACAGATGATTGGATAAAGACAATGTGGACTATGCGTTGTTGATGAAAAATGAATCAATGGCTAATCTAAGAAAGAAATGGAGATTTTTATTCAAACCAACATGAGGATTATAACTCAGGAGATGGTCTTTCAGAGAGCTCTGAGGACTGTTCCCCCTGTTAGAGGGAAACACAGTTGTACACATTTTTGAGACAAAGGATCACATGTACATGGTAACATATGGACAGTTGACATAGTCCAACCAGGTGAGTGAAGGTCATTGTGACACCTTATAGGATTGATGATCTCCTGAAGACTGACCCTGATGGTGCCAGGAGGAAATTGCTTTTTCTTGGCAAGCAGGCTTCTAAAGGATGTGGTTAATGAATAATGCAGATGCACCATTCACGCTAAAGAGGGTGGGGGCCCAGTCAGGGAGAGTGAGAATTTTATGTTTAAATTTTTTCTTGTCCTGCTTTCAAAATAATTTTTGTTTCATCAACATAAGATGGAATGTTAGTGTTAGAAAAGAAGGATATTCTGCAACAGTGCAAATGTGGCTGAACTTTGAGGACCTTATGCTTAGTGGAAAAGGTCAGTTTTTATTCCAGTCCCAAAGAAGGGCAATGCCAAAGAATGCTCAAACTACTGTACAACTGGGTTCATCTCACATGCTAGCAAGGTAATGCTTAAAATCCTTCAAGCTAGGCTTCAACAGTACATGAACTGAGAACTTCCAGATGTACAAGCTGGGTTTAGAAAAGGCAGAGGAACCAGAGATCAAATTGCCAACAACACTAGATCATAGAAAAAGCAAGGGAATTCCAGAAAAACATCTACTTTTGCTTTATTGACTACTTTTGCTATTATTGACATAGCTTTTGACTGTGTGGATCACAACAAAATGGGAAATTCTTAAAGAGATAGGAATATCAGATCACCTGACCTGCCTCTTGAGAAACCTATATGCAGATCAGGAAGCAACAGTTAGAACTGGACATGGAACAACACACTGGTTCCAAATAGGAAAAGGAGTATGTCAAGTCTGTATATTGTCACCATGCTTATTTAACTTATATACAGAGTACATCATGAGAAATGCTGGCCTGGATGAAGCACAAGCTGGAATCAAGATTGCCAGGAGAAATAACAACAACCTGAAATATGCAGATGATACCACCCTTTTGGCAGAGAGAGAAGAACTAAAGAGCCTCTTGATGAAAGTGAAAGAGGAGAGTGAAAAAGTTGGCTTACAACTCAACATTCAGAAAACTAAGATCATGGCATCTGGTCCCATCACTTCATGGCAAATAGAAGGGGAAAAGTGGAAGCAGTGACAGATTTTCTTTTCTTGGGCTCCAAAATCACTGCAGATGGTGACTGTAGCCATGAAATTAAAAGATGCTTGCTCCTTGGAATAAAAGCTATGACCAACCTAGACAATGTATTAAAAAGCAGAGGCATTACTTTGCACCAAAGGTCCATCTAGTGAAAGCTATGGCTTTTCCAGGAGTCATGTACAGATGTGACAGTTGGACTATAAAGAAGGCTGGGCCCAAAGAATTAATGCTTTTGAATTGTGGTGCTGGAGAAGACTCTTGAGAGTTCAAACCAGTCAATCCTAAAGGAAATCAACCCTGAATATTCATTGGAAGGACTGATGCTGAAGTTGAAACTCCAATACTTTGGCCACCTGATGGAAAGAGCCAACTCATTGGAAAAGACCCCGATGCTGGGAAAGATTGAAAAGCAGTAGGAGAAGGGGGTGACAGAGGATGAGATGGCTGAGTGGCATGACCAACATAATGGACATGAGTTTGAACAAACTCTGGGAGATGAAGAACAGGGAAGCCTGGCATGCTGCAGTCCATGGGGTCACAAAGAGTTGGACATGACTTAGTGACTGAACAGTAAGAAAAAAGCTTAGTGACTTAAGCCAGACACAGCAAGGCAGACTCCACTTGTAGGAGACGGTTCCCCACAGCCTGGGGCAGGGTGGAAGGGTTCAGGCCCAACATGGCAGGCAGCCCCTAGCACCCTCGTTCCTGATGCCCCGGGACCTGCACACGAGATTTCTTCACAACATGTGATGCTCAAGCTTGAAGCTGAGAAAAAACATTTATTTTTTTCTGATTGAAGTTCAGAGGGTGGAAGTGGGGCTTCAGTCCCTGAGTCTCCCGGGAGCTCAGCCACCAGTCAGTGGTCCCCCAGCACCTCCCTCTCCCCAGGCTTTCCCCCCACCTCAGAGGAAGGAGGGGAGGAGGTCGGCAGGACTTCCTGACC